GGGGGTGAATGAACGCTTGGGGATGGGGGGTGTAAAACATTTACAAGCTAGTGCCCAGCAACATGAGGTATGGACTGAGAAGGGAACTATTATTATTTTGGTATTAATGTTATCATTATCGTTATTTTACTATAGTCACTATTGTTATTATTATTAACACTGTTGTTGCTATTGCAATCTTTTACTATCATTATCATCTTCATTGTTAAGTATATCATCTTCATTGTTACAGTGAATGGGTGGTTGGCGGGTGCTCTGATGTGGTTTGCTCCTTCTTTCCCATCAAACATCTATCGTCCTTATCTACTCTTCTTCTTTTTTATGTTTGTTACTCTTGTAACACCTCTAATCTTCTGACACTCATAGGACCTTATGCAGTTGCGCCATAAAACTTCTTCTAAAACAAAAAACCATACTAAAACTAAAACTGTTGTCATTATCATGTCTGTTTATTTGTATTGTCATCATCGTCGTTGTGGTTGTCGTTTAGGGTGACGATCGTGTCCAAGAAGTACCAGGGTCAGACAGACCAGACGGAGCAGTGGTACGGCACGCAGTACTCCGTCGCCAAGTTCTCAGCTGAACAGCTGCAGGTCAGAGGAAGGATGTTATGTTTGGGATGTCGCTACCTTAGAAGTACAAAAGTTCTATCTGACATGGTTCATGATAGCCCACGCCAGTCGGCAAGGCACCGGATGATGATCTGACACTTTTGGTCATTCTGAGTTAATATGACCATGAGGCCAGAAACTAAATGTGATGCAGCATGGTGGGATCAGGCTCTCGTCAATTTTGGGGCATGTAGAGTTATTGTTATCATCTTAAAGCTTGTTCACTTGTCTTTATTTGGATGTAAAAAATATCCATTTGTCTTGGATACTAGTCGAGATTTTTGCGAAAGAAGGAGGTGGGGATCATCTGTTTTCAGAGGTAAAGTAAGTGAGAAAATGGCCACCAAAGAATAGTTATTTCCTTAGCTTAAGAGTCCGTGGTAACTGAAAATTTACGTTTTTTGTGCCTTTAATCGTTTTTTTAGAAAAATCCACACAGAAATGAGTACTTTAACTTTAATGGGCATGAAAAGTGTTGAGCATACGAACAAAAATGTGATAAAAATTCACAAACCTGGGGAAAAATGCAAGTTTCTTCACTTCGATTATTTTGATAAGAGGCTGATTCCACTACGCTGCCTCACAAATGTTCTTTCTGCTCTAACAAATTCTTAAGATTATTCGGATTCATTCTCAAGATATTCAAAGAATTGTATTTGAAAATCCTTGACATGATGTGAAACTCTAAATCTTTTACGTCAAATTTGTCAAAACTAGGTACTGTGCAGACAGAGCATTGTCATTCTGAGTTAACGATGTGGGGAGGAAGAGAGGTGGAGGATACTAGTTTGTTTCACTTATTAAAAAAAAAATTACTTCTCTTTTGAAGAGTGGATTTTTTACTCTTGTTTTCCACGTGGGGTAAAGAGCATGGAGTGCGGAAAGGTGGAGGGTGGAGGGGAATGGAGGGGGTACATAGTTGTTGTTGTTTTCAAATCCCTTTAGCTGCGAGCATTTCGCTCTTGGCAGCGCAATGCCTCCCTCAAGTAACCACATGTCCCTGTCATCTGGTCAGCGCCAGAGGGGGTACATACTTAACTATTTTTTCCTGCACTCCTATCCTGTCTTGCTGATAGAATCTTGGTCTTGTTGGGTCTCTCATTTTGTTATTACTCATGGTCTGTGTCTGTTTTAATGACGAATAATATTGGGTTTTTTTATAAAGCTATATTCACATATACTATGAAGAAAATATATCCTTTTTTTACTGCACCATTATGTTGTTTACCATTAATTGCTATAGTAGTTCCATTTTTGAAGGAAGATTTATTTCCTTTGAGATAAGTAAAACAAACATTAGTTTTGGGGAAGGCTTTTTTCATTGTCAAGAAATAATTGATCTATTCATTCTGTTAAAAATAAATTTTTTTCTTTTCATATGACATAAAATATGCAGCTCATTTCTTTGTTTTGTTTTTCTTTCTTCTCCAGAAATGGACTGATTGTGGCTTCCACGAGAACCTGCGGCTCCCAATGAAGAACGAGTTCATACCCACCAACTTTGACTTGGTGGACAGAGAAACGGAGGTAAATATAGGAAGGCAGTGTTGTGGGACATTGTAGATGTGTGCGAGAGGGAGGGAAGGGGAAGGGAGGGATGGAGGAGAAGGGAAGGAGGGAAGAGTAGGTGAATGAGAATGAGAGAAGCCAGAGAGGATGGTGAGGCTGAGAAAGGGGGGGGGGTGGCGGGGAGAGAAAAGAGAGAGGCAGGAGAAGAGGGAGGGAGAGAGAGAGAAAGAGAAAGAGTTTATATACCATGTGAAAGTTTTCATTGTATTGTGATTTTTGTATTTTAATTCAATTAATCTTAAGCCCATAACAAAACCAGTTCTAATAAAAGCGTCTCATTTGGACTGTAAATTTTCCTGTTCCTTTGTTTCAGGCACCGATTCTGCCCGAGATGATCAAGGTAAGACACAAGGTTTTGTTGACGATTGTTTGTCACGTGCTTGTATATGTCAGTGTGCCAGGTAACTTTGCCCAAAGCTCCGATGCTTTTGAAAATATTTATTGTGCTTGTGAACTCAACAGTTTCTGAAGTTAGTTATTATTACCTGTCAAGTAATTCAGAAAGAGGTGATCTGTCTTCCTTTGAGATGAAACTAAACTTGGCTTGCGCTGGCAAAAAAGTTCATCCTTGAAAGGTATATTCTTACAAGAGACAGTGCGTTACATCCATATGAGAACACTAAGAATGTGAAGGTGAAGAGCCATACTTTCTGAGCAGTGTTTGTGCTATAGTGGTTAAGCTCTTTACCTGTCCATGCAGAGCACATTTTATGTTTTGTTTTGTTTTTAAACTGTGAGAGGCTTGCAGAATTCTCCCATGCGGGCTATGATTTATTTCCAGAACACACCCTTGAGTCGACTCTGGTACAAGCAAGATGACCGCTTCCTGAAGCCCAAGGCTTGCCTGAACCTAGACTTTATCAGGTCAGTTTGCTTTGCTTGAGTTCAAAAGAATCATGTGGGCACATTTTGCTTCTTTAGTTCAGAGGAACATTAAGATAGATATACAAAGGCAATGGACACACATCAAAGAAGGAACTAATAGTAATGCCCTCTTCTCACCTTCAACAAAAGATGAGCTGTGTTACTCGATAAATTTGGATGACTCATCTTTTTAGAAGGGATGGGGGCTGCTGATGAGTGGTTGGTGAAAGCAAGTTTCTCACAGAAATGTCTGGCAACTTCTGTTGCTAATGTTGTAATGGGAGAGGTAACTATGCATTATCGTGGAGGGGTGAGTGCTGAAGCCAGTGGCATGATGATGAATCTGTGGAATAAGAGATGTGTGGTATTGTGTACTCGCTAATGTGTAATAGGTTTGGACATCGGGAATCTGTCTTGGCTTTCTGTTTTTCCTCATCATGTACTCCTGGAGGCCTTATCTACTGAGGAATATCTTGCAGATTTGTAACATTTTTGCAGCAGGGTGCAGTACGTTTGGGTTTTTCTAATTTGTAACATTTTCGTTGCAGGGTGTAGTATGTTTGATGGAGTTTTCTAATTTGTAACATTTGTGCCACACAGTGCAGTATGTTTGGCTTTTTCTAAAAAATATTCTGTAGAAACCCCAGATAAAGACTGGAGCAAAATGTTTTTTTATTTGTACTTCTTCTCATCTAAAAACTGACAACTCCATCCTCCCCTCCCCCTTACTAATGATTTGGACATTGCGTTGACCTCACTTAACAATAATCTGTTAACATGTACACCTAGGGCGAGACAGGCTTTTTGGCTTTTTTTTTTCTATTTGAAAGCTCTTTTTTTTTTTTAAATGTCATGACTTTCCTTTAAAAAAATGTTTAATCATTGAACTTTGTTTGCAGCTTGTTTGATAAATTTATCTATTTATCTAGAATGTGTGGAATCCATCTTTTTTTGGGTTTTTTTCTTCCTCATCTCTGCAGTCCAATCGCCTACATGGACCCTCTCCACACCAACCTGAACGCACTGTTCACCCAGCTGTTTGACGACGCACTCACTGAGTACTCGTACATGGCCGACATCGCAGGCCTCAAGTATAACCTGGACAGCTCTATATATGGCCTCACGGTACGTTTGCCACGCTTGCTGGTCAAGGCTGTGGATGCTATCATGCTGTCTCACTGTATTATTTGTCAAACTGTGGGTGTTATCTCGCTGTCTCACTGAGCTATTTGTCAAACTGTGGATATTATCATGCTGTCTCACTGTATTATTTGTCAAACTGTGGGTGTTATCTCGCTGTCTCACTGAGCTATTTGTCAAACTGTGGATATTATCATGCTGTCTCACTGTACTATTTGTCAAACTGTGGATGTTATCACACTAACTTGCTGTGCTATTTGTCAAACTGTGGATGTTATCACTCTAACTTGCTGTGCTATTTGTCAAACTGGATGTTATCATGCTGTCTCACTGTACTATTTGTCAAACTGTGGATGTTATCATGCTGGCTCACTGTACTATTTGTCGAACTGTTGATGTTATCACTCTGTCTCACAGTACTATTTGTCAACGATGTGGTTTGCTGTGTATGAGATTTTACTGTATGTATATATACCCTACAACGTCTGTCTGTCCTTGTCTCCCACTCAACGTGTGTCTCTGTCTATCCCTGTCTCCCACTCCAACATCTGAGCAGTGCTACTGACTGAAGTTGTCTTTAGGCTATTCCCAAAGGGGGGATATTAACATGTTCTTATGCACAGTAGAATTGTAAATGGACTGATTTATCAATGTCATGCTCATACTGTGCCGAAACAACATAGGGGGAACTGCTGCTTTTTCTTTCCTTATCCGTACCATTGTCATTTTTTTCCTCTACTTCTTTTGTATGTTTGTCTGTCTTGTGAACTGCTATTTCCGGGGTGCCTTGATAGTCAAAGCAGACTTTGTGTGCTGTTGAGGCTAGAGAGGTGAGCAGAGTAAGCCTGATTTCCCCGTTTGGACTTCCCCTTGGCGCTCATATGACGGTATGCAGTTGCGAGCGCCGTAAATCCTTACTAAGTGGGTGGTTGGCAGGTGCTCTGGTGTGGTCTGCTTCTTCTTTCCTATGAAACATCCATCGTCCTTGTCTCTCCTCCTTTTTTAGTATCTGTCTGTCTGTCTGTCTGTCTGTCTGTATGGGTGGTTGGCGTGTGCCCTGGTGTGGTTTGCTTCTTCTTTCCTATTGAACATCTATTGTCCTTATCTTTCCTCCTCCTTTTTTGTGTTTGTTACTCTCTTGTATCACTTCTAATCTTCGGCACTTATATGACCTTATTGTGTTGCAAGTGCCGTAAAACTCTTACTAAAAAAAATAAATTTTTTAGTGTATTTTTGTTACTTCTTGTAACGCCTCTAATCTTCTGGCGCTCACATGACCTTATGCAATTGCGAGCGCCATAATACTTCTACTAAAACAAACAAAACCTGAACCTTACTAAAATAAACTAACATCTGTCTGTCCCTGTCTCCCTCTACAACATCTGTCTTTGTCTCTGTCTCCCACTCACCTCTCTATCTGTCCCTTTCTGTTCCCCAGCTGACGGTGAAGGGCTACAACGACAAGCTCACCACTCTGCTGCTGAAACTGGTGGAGAAGATGACACAGTTCAAAGTGAACCCCCAGAGGCTGGCTATTTTCAAGGAGATGGTGAGTCCGCACCTGGGGTTTTAAAGCTATTTATAGTTATTTTACGTTTCGATTTTGTTGTTGTTATTATTGATCCAGACGTTTCGATTACATATCACAGACTTCATTTTGTCGTGGGACTGAGTGCTGAATGGTATGGTGAAATTATTTAATGTCACTCTTCTTGTCTGGAGCTCCTGGGGCTGGGTGGTGAGTGGGCACGGGGCTCACAATAACTGCAAACATTGATCAGTGACAGGACATTTAGGTGCATGGTTACTGGGATGTTTCTTTGAGCAAGATGCGATAACCCTAGCTCAAGAACAAGGGTTGGCGCAGCGGTGGCCAGAAATGTCATGTCTGTAAGATTCTCTGTGTTGTGGGATACGTGATACTGGCTGCTATATGGCATTGACTGGACTGTTGAATGTATACTTTGTAAATGCCATTGTAAAACAAATTTCCTCACGGTGATTGATAAAAGTAGCATTTTATTTTTTAAAAATTAGTCTAGTTTTTTTTTCTTGAGAAGGTGAAGCATCTTATGAGTAATAGGAGTCAATTTGTGAACATGTTTCTTGTTTTGTTTTTTTACCCCAGCACGGACGCAACCTGAAGAACTTCCAGGCGGAACAGCCGCACCAGCACGCTATCTTCTACACCAACATGCTCACCTCCGAGGTTCTCTGGACAAAGGACGAGTTGCTGCTAGCTCTGGAAGGTGAGGTGGTCGACCATTGTGGCACAGTTGATCGGAAACTTGGTCCGTACGTGAAAGTGCAGGATGGCCAGGAGACTGTTTTGGTCCATTCTTCCCTGTCAAATACCCTACCACTGACTTAGTTGTCACGAATTGTTTTGATTGTCTTACAGGTCTTCTATTCTGGGTTGCTCCTTTTTCTACTTGTCAGTGTCCCTGTTACGTTTGCCGGAGTCTGGGAAAATTCGCCCCCACCCCAATAATGACATCCCTGATTTGGTGTAGAAAGCAGAAGCTAGCTAACAGTCCTTGTGGAAATCTTCTACTTTGAACCTTTTGAGCCCTTGCCACCGGAACACCAGTGGCGTGTAAAACTGCCCGTATGCCTAGCCACCTGTATACCAGTGAGCGAGACCTTGTCCTCAAACCGGCCCTTTTCTGCAGCCTTTCTACTGCTACTCCTTCGCTTCTTCGTACTGCTGTCTTTCAGCCACACCCCTGATCTTCTGGTAGGAAAGATCTACACCTAGCCTTCTCGGACAAGGGCGAAAAATCTCGGAGGGCCCGTGTGCAAGTTGCGCACGTTAAAGATCCCTTGGTGGTCTAAAATCGATAAGAGTAGGCTTCGGCCGCCACCCGGGCAAAATTCAAAATTTCCTACCAACTGAAAATATTAGGTGTGTCCCGCGCGCTCATATGACCTATGCAGTTGCGAGCGCCGTAAAACACTTAACAAAAACAAAAACCGGCCCTCCTGAGACAAAACACGCACGGAAACAGTGTTTTCTACACAGGCATTATTGATTATTTTGGAGATGTTTCTGAGGCAGATGCTCGTAATGACGAGGACTACCCTGAGTGGGATATGGAATGTGATTCTGATCCCCCCGGGGCAGTGCCACTGACTGTATTGTCTTTAGGCCATTCCCAAAGGGGGGACATTTCTCGTTCAAGCACAGTAGAATTGTAAATGGGCTGATTCATGTCACGCTCATAACTGTGCCTGATCTACAATAGGGAACTGCTGCTTTTTCTTTCCTAAGCCTTCCTATTGTCATTTTCCTCTACTTCTTTTGTATGTTTGTCACTCTTGTGACCTGCTATTTCCGGGTGCCTTGATAGTTGAAGCAGACCTTGTGCTGTTGAAGCTAGAGAGGTGAGCAGAGTAAGTCTGATTCCCTGTAAAGACTTCTCTGTTGACACCCACTCCTGGCGCTCATATGACCTTGTGCAGTTGTGAGCGCCGTAAAACCCTCTACTATAATAATAATATGTGATTCTGACTATGATATGAATGAAGGCGTGAATCTCTCAGAGGAGGTCAGGCAGAGGGCACGGTAGCCTCAGGAGGTCAGAGCTCAAAGGTTAACTCATTGCTGACAACCTACGAGAGTACTCATATCCGGGCAGCCATCTGACTATGAGAAAATCCGAATCCCTCTTTGTTTCTATAAAACTTTCTCCAGTCCACTATTTCCAAGTTTTTAAATCTACTGTAGGGTATCCTTTCTTGCATTTCCGTAAGCTTATTGTCCGCTAATTTTGTAGCTGTTTGGAGGGGAAGTTATTTCAGTTTTGGTGTGGCTGGAGGCAGCCCAGGTAGGTGTATTCTGCTTACTTTTTAGTGCATGCCTCTTTTTCTGAAATACTGCTGTATTGGCTGGGACTGGGGTTAGGGAGTGCACAAAAAAGGCTGGGGCTGGAAGGGTTAAGGGCAACCAGGGATGTCTGGGTACATTGGAGCTGAAAAACGGAGAAACATGAAATCCACACAAAAATGTGTTTTTAAATGGACATAAAAGGTGTTGAACCAAAAAATAAAAAATTAGACAAAAATTGACCTTCACCCCTATGTCTTGGATTTCATTATTTTGACAAGCGCCTGATTCGGTGACAATGCCTCACATTTTACTGTTACTTGTTCTGTGGCAGGAGAACTTGTGCTATCTTGAAAGCATTCTGTTATGTTTTAAAAAAGTTCGAAAATGTGTTACAGTGCGCAAGTATAAGGCATCGGGCAGTGGCCACGGAGCTGTCAATTTTGTGAAATTCTAAACGGCTCCAACTTTTGTTTCAGAGGTGACTGTGGAAAAGTTGCAAGCCTTCATCTCCGACCTGCTGTCCAAGATGTACATAGAGGGTCTCATCTATGGGAACGTCACCAAATCAGTAAGCATTTAGAATCTATTTATCATTAAAGTCCTCGTTACTACCGTCTGTTTTTCGTTTTCCTTGCACTAAATGATCATTATTGTGTCGATGTGCTTCTCTTTACTCAAACAAGCTGGTTGAACATTTTGTTGTTCAAGTTGAATGTTATAAAGGTATATTATATAATATATGTGATAGCTTACTGGTCACAAACCTTTTTACTGACAGTTTAGTCTCTCCGTCTCTGCTCCTTCTTTACTAATTTTCTGTGTTATCTGTCTGTCCATCTTGCTCTGAATAGCAGTTGTGTGGATGTGATTCTCTTTACTTTTGCTAAACTTCGTTTCTATCATACAGCTGCCTTCCTTATCTCTCCTCCTTTTCTTTGTATGTTACTCTCTAGTAACACCTCTTATCTTTGGCTCTTTGGCTCTTTTATGACCTAGTTGTGTTGCAAGTGCTGTAAAACTCTTACTAAAGCTAAAAAAGAACACAACCTCCTGCGTTTGTCTATGTGTGTGTGTGTGTGTCTCCCGCAATCCCTGGAGATGCTGTCTCAAGTGAGGGAAATGTTGTATATATGTGCGTGTGTGTCTATGTGTGTGTTTATGTGTATATTTGTGTGTCTATGTATGTGTTTATGTGTGTGTCTATGTGTGTGTCTATGTGTGTGTCTATCTGTGTGTCTATGTGTGTGTTTATGTGTATATGTCTGTGTCTATGTATGTGTTTATGTGTGTGTGTCTACATGTGTTTGTCTACAAGTGTTTGTCTATGTCTCTAGCAATACCTGGAGATGCTGTTGTTTGTGTGTGTCTATTTGTATATGTATGTGTTTATGTGTCTATGCCTGTGTTTATTTGTGTTTCTATGTGTGTTAATGTGTATGTCTAACTGTCTGTGTCTCCAGCAATCCCTGGAGATGCTGTCTCAAGTAGAAGACATGCTGTGTGCCAACAGCCAGACCCGGCCGCTCCTGCCCTCGCAGCACCGCAAGCTCCGGGAGGTCCAGCTGCCCGACGGTCAGTCACTTTGTCTACAAGCTCACTTTAATAAGGATAATATGAATTGCATAAATAATGATAATATTTATAGTAATAATGATGATAATAGTAATGATAATAACAAGAACAACAACAATATTAATAATAATAATGATTACAATGATAATACTATAATGATATTTATAATAAAATCAATGATAATAGTAATAAATGATGATGTTGATAATGATAATAATATAATAATAGTAACAATAAAAATGATAATAGTAGGACTTTAAATAGCGCTTACATCCCATGCCGCTTTGTCATCTCGTCGTGTTGTGTTTCGTCTGGAGTTCTATACGCACAGGTGTGACTATATCTGTCCACTTCCTTTTCGAGTCTTAATCATTATTTTGCATGGGGTGTGATCTTCAGCTGTCTCCCCCCCCCCTCCCTCGGACAGTGCTGCTGACTGAAGTTGTGTTTAAAGGTCATTCCCAAAGGGGGGATATTAACATGTTCTTATGCACAGTAGAATTGTAAATTGGCTGATTTATCAATGTCATGCTCCTACTGTGCCGGAACAACATAGGGGGAACTGCTGCTTTTTCTTTCCTCTTCCTTACTATCGTCATTTTCCTCTACTTCTTTTGTATGTTTGTCATTCTCTTGTGAACTGCTATTTCCGGCGTCCTTGATAGTCAAAGCAGACTTTGTGCTGTTGAGGCCAGAGAGGTGAGCAGAGTAAGCCTGATTCCCTGTATGAACTTCTCTATTAACATCCATCCCTTGGCGCTCATATAACCTTAAATGCAGTTGCGAGCGCCGTAAAAACGACTAAAACTAGCCAAAAAATCTATACTTTCTTACTATGATAACACTGTAATTCAGTATCTATTAATTTATTTCCACTTTAGATGATCAGAACATTTGAAAGATGTATCAAGAATCATAGGAAATGCAGTCATTCGAAAAAAAAGTAATTTATGCATATTCTGTGATGTGTTAAGTTTTGGTAACTGACGGGACAGAAAAAATGTCTCATTTGACCTGTCAGTTACCTTGGAATAGCCCCTCCTTTTTTCATGCAACCAAATTACATAATTCTTGTTACATTTTCTCGTACAGGCTGCTACTTCCTTCACAAACAGAAGAACCATGTACACGAGAGCTCCAGCATTGAGGTCTACTACCAGTGCGGCCTGCAGAACACGGAAAATAACATGCTTCTAGAACTCTTCTGCCAGGTGAGATCTCTGGATAGGCTTGCCTTTCTTGGAGCTCCTTGTTTTTTTTCTATACGTGTTCCCCATGGCTGTTTCAGTGTCTGCAGGTGAAAGATGTGGGTTTGATTCCTGTTTCGGAAAGTTTTTTTTTATTGTTGATCTCTGTCTGTTTGCTCGGGTCATCATGTACCCCGCATCGATTTGGGTTAGCCCTGAAAACAGTTTAGAATCAGCCTCCCTCCGGATTGATTCAAATTCTGTCAATCATGGGCATTTTCTTCCAGTAGGGCTGTGTTAGTATTTTGCTGGTCTGCTAGCTTTTCTTACTGTTCTTTGCTGATGTGTTGGAACTTTTGTTACTGTTCTTTTGATGATGTGTTGGAACTTTTGTTACTGTTCTTTGATGATGTGTTGGAACTTTTGTTACTGTTCTTTGATGATGTGTTAGAACTTTTGTTACTGTTCTTTGCTGATGTGTTGGAACTTTTGTTACTGTTCTTTGCTGATGTGTTAGAACTTTTGTTACTGTTCTTTGATGATGTGTTAGAACTTTTGTTACTGTTCTTTGATGATGTGATAGAACTTTTGTTAATGCTCTTTGAAGTGTTGGAACTTTTGTTACTGCGTTTTGCTGATTTGCTAGCTTTTGTTATTGCTCTTTGCTGATGTGTTGGAGCTTTTGTTACTGCTCTTTGCTATTGTATTTTGCTACTGTTTTTGTGACCACTGACTCACACCAGTGGGTTTGTTCGGTTTCTTTGTGATCACTGTAGTAAGCCCAGAGTATGTAGAAGGTTATTTTTCATATTTACATTTTACAGTTATTCACATCTTACTGTTTGGAAATTTCTGTGTAAAGTGACCTTTGTGTGTTTTGCTGTGTTGTCAGGTGATCGGAGAGCCGTGTTTCAACATTCTGCGGACCCAAGAACAGCTGGGTGAGTATTTTGTGGTGCTCACAGTGGGGGCTAAGTGTGTCAGTCATTTCTGTCTTATACATTCATTGTGGGGGCCAAGTTTTTGTCTATCACTTCAGTCTTATACACGTGTTGTGGGGTCTGCTGCCTCTACTTTTGATCGGTTTTAAAAAAATCCTTTCTTTTCTCTGGTAAACTGATAGTTTCCTGTAAGAAACACGTAATGGAACAGGAGCCCAGAGAATATGATGCATGCTCAAGATTTCTAGTAAACTTATCTCAGTGAAGTTAATGTCATATTTCAAATTGTATGTTTTGTGATCTAGTTATGTCTGTGTGCAGGCTATATCACCTTCAGATAGTTGGTAACATGCATTTTTGTGTACTCAGTTAGTCAGTGACATGTGTTTGGGAGCAAACATAGAGAACGCCGATTTCAGAGACTTACTCTGTAAGTGCCGATAGGTATAAAAATTCCCTTATGATTTCCAGCTTGCCCCACGTAGAGTTGGCAGACTGCAGCCTCCATTTTTTAACAGTGAAAATGTGACTTCTTCTTAAGCTCACTCTTTGTTGTGAACTGTTTTCACTGTTATTAAGAATGGAGATGGGACAAGAAAGCACTGGGGCCGCATACTCTCAATGCCGTCTTGCTGTCGCCAACTGGAGTTCAGCGGTTTGCGTGACGTCTGCAAACTGGATTGGGGACAATTTTAAATGGTCATTTCAGAGCTGGTACTTCACGGTAGACAAAAACTAATTACTTTTTTAAAATCAGCGTTGTCAAATTAGGATGGCGTATGAGCAGAATTACATTTTAAGCAATATTTTAGGAATTTCGAGTTTTTTGTTAGCCCCAAATAAATGCTTCATAAATACCAGCTGTTTTGTGATGTAATTTTTTTCTTAGATCTAGATCTAGGCCTTAGGCGCCCTCTATGTGGAGTCAAGCAGACGCCTACTGGCTCCTGTTAGTGTCGATCTTCAGCCGCTTAAGTTTCGGCGTTCTCTATGTTATCGCCCTTTGTACAAGCGGAAGAAAAAAAATAAAAGTGTGCCATCACATAGTAACGTGTGTTTGTGTGCAGTCAGACAGACAGTAACATGTTTCTTTGTGCAGGTTACATCGTGTTCAGTGGCGTTCGGCGCTCCAAAGGCGTGCAGGGTCTGCGAGTCATTGTGCAGTCGTCGCGACCCCCGCAGTATGTGGAGGGCCGTATCGAGGCTTTTATACAGAATGTCCATGTGAGTGATGATACGCTGCATTTTGTCGTTGAAATAGATGTGCCAAAAACATGATAGCTGATATATAAAAAAAATAACCTATCAAATTTGCCTAAACCTTAGAGCTCTGCTGGTTCCCTTGATCGTATAGGACCTGTACACCTCGATTCCTTTTGGTTGACTTAAAGATTTATGCTACCGTAGATTGATACGTGCTACTGCATGTTCATACATACGTTTGGTTGACAGACATGTAAAGGTTCGGTCTATTATGTTAAGACTGTCATACAGCTCGCTTTAGTTTTGATAGTGTGGGAAAGATCCAAGACATATGACTGACAAGACATGGCAGAAGGTTTCAGTTCCAGCCTGCCAGGCTTTCTTAATTACAAACTAGGAAAGTGTACATGATACATGCATGACAGGTCAGAAATTACAAGCTAGGAAAGTGTATATGATATGCATAACGAGTCGGAAACCTTATACTGAGGATGGCTTGTGGCTTGTGACTTATTTTGTAAGCACTGACCTACCATTGTCTGCGGACTGACTTTCCATTGTGTTTGTGTCTTAGGGTGTGAACACACAGAAATGATCTTGGTTCAGGTGTGGTTCAACATGGTGTAGAATTATGTGTGCTTCGTAAATATTTAATTTACAACATGGTGTAGAATTATGTGTGCTTCGTAAATATTTAATTTTGTGTGATGAGAAGATTGATAATTTGTGCTATGCCATTCTGTCAAGCTGCTGTATAGATGTGCTCTCTCTCTGATATAACCTACAAAACAGACTGGGTGGGGGGGGGGGGTCTTCGATTGTTCCTCCCACAATGAGGTGGGACCTGTGGTAGAATTACAAGACGATAACCTGTTTTTGGGTGGAATCAAAATAAAATCCATTTTGTTTTCTTTTCTCTTTTTTTCTTCTTTTTTTTTGTATTGCTAAGTGTGATCAATTCAATCATATTTTGTTTTGGAGGGGTTATTTATTCTTCTTGTTTTGTTTTTTTTCATTGCTGAGTGGGATCAATAAAGTCATTTTGTATTAAATCTTTTCTTCTTTTTAAAATATTTATATACAATTTTTTTTTGGGTATTGCTGAGGAGGAGCAATAAAATCTTTTTTTTTTGGGTCTGTTCTATTGTATATATATAGATCTATATATTTTTATTTTTTAAAAATTATTTTCTTTGTGCTTGCGTGTGTGTGTGTGTGCGTGTCAGGACGTGATCCGCGACATGCCAGAGGAGGAGTTTGGCAAACACGTGTCGGCCCTGGCCACCAAGAGGCTGGAGAAGCCCAAGAAGCTGGTGCAGCAGAACAACAAGTACTGGACCGAGATCATCTCCAGCTTCTACAACTTTGACCGTGGTAAGGATTGACAGGAGGTCATGTTGTGGGTGGTTGGCGGGTGCTTTCAGCCTCAGCCATTTTTGTGCACTCCCTAACCCCAGTCCCAGCCAATACAGCAGTATTTCAGAAAAAAAGGCATGCATTCTAAAAAGTGATGTAGTATCTTTGTAATGAGGTTTAGATACACAATGTTTAAAGATAAATGAACAAATTATTATGAAAATTAAAGTGTAATTAGGTTAGCTAATTTAGAAAAATGCTCAAATTCAGTATCCCCAAAACTGAGAATACAGGCTCTTGGGACGGTGGGAGGTACAAGCACTGCTGAAAATATACGCGTTTAGGGCTGGAAGGGTTAATCTGCTGAATTTGAGACATGCCACATTGGAACTTTTTTCTATTTGACTTTCCGTAACTTTTTTCTATTTGACTTTCCGTTTCTAGAAAGTCAATAATTAAAGCAAAGCTCATTCTTCAGTCAGTAAGTAATTAACTTTTGTTGGTGTACGAAGTATTATGTCAAAATAGAACTTAACTTCAGGATTAACGGACCTGTGTGCTTTGAAGTTGGCACTGGTTTAACCCCCCCCCCCCCCCCCCCAGTTCTTTTGTTAATTGAAACTGGCTGACAAAGTTTATTGGGGGGGGTCTTGGGGGTTGCCTTTGAGCCTGATGTGGCCAGAGGTTTGCCAGCTGAGTGGCCTTGGGGTGCTGGTACAAACATTTTCCTCTTGATTCCTAAGGAATATATATTATATACTATATGCAGGCATAATGTGTGAAGAGTATTTATTTTTTGTAAGTACTTGAATTTTATTTCTTTTTTTGTTCTTTTCCAGATATTGTAGAGGTGGCTTTTCTGAGGACTCTGAAAAAGGATGATTTGTACAGGTTTTACAAGGTTAGTTTCCTGCAGTCTATTTATTAAACTTTTCAATGGTTTGGAGAGAGTAATGCAGGTTTTAAGAGGCTGCTTCTTTCTTAGTGTCGTGCTCAAGATATAGTTGAGCACAACTGACACAAACACAGAAACCCCCCCGGGGCGGTGCCAGTGACTGAAGTGTCTTTTGGCCATTCCCAAAGGGGGGACATTTCTCGTTCTTGTGCACAGTAGAATTGTAAATAGGCTAATTCAACAATGTCATACATGCTCATAACTGTGCCTGAACTACAACAGGGAACTACTGCTTTTTCTTTCGTAATCCTTACTATCGTCGTTTTCCTCTACTTTTTAAAAATGTTTGTCACACTCTTGTGACCTGCTATTTCCGGGGTGCCTTGAAAGTCGAAGCAGACCTTGTGCTGTTGAAGCTAGAGAGGTGAGCAGAGTAAGTCCCGACTCCCTGTAAAGACTTCTCTATTGCGAGCGGCGTAAAACCTGTATTGAAAAAAAAAAGAAAACAGTAACTCTCTTTCTTCTATTTTGTGTTTGTTGCTCTCTTGCAACGCCTCTAATCTTCGGCACTTATATGACCTTATTTATTGTGTTGCAAGTGCCTTAAAATCTTCCTAAAACTAAACAAACACATAAAACTCAAATTCATAGATAGCTCGTACAAATTGTTATTCCTTGAGTGACATCTGTAATTTTTCGTTATTGGTTAACCCAAGCTATGGATGTATCGAAAACATTTGTCAATCCCCGACGTATTTGAGTTCTTCATGCCCGATTGTGCTCTTAAAGTATGGGTCTGATGCCTCTTTACACACAGTCAGGAGAAGTTCATTTTACTCTTTCATGACTGGCTAAACATCCATAGATTGATGGCTGAGTGCAAGACTCTTGACATATACCGAAATAAACTCACCCTGTGACTAGGGTTAATTAAGATGGATAATTGTGACTGTACCTACAAATAACCTCACCCCGTGACTAGGGTTAATTGAGATGGATAATTCTGACTGTACCTACAAATAAATGCACCCCATGACAAGGGGTAAGACAGACAGTTGTGACTACCTACAAATAAACTCACCCCGTTGGGGTTAAGATAGATAATTGTGACTGTACCTACAAATAAATGCCCCTCGTTAAGAGGGACAATTGTGACTTTGCATACAAATAAAATCACCCCATGAATAGGATTGAGATGGACAATGCTGACTGTCCCTACAAATAAACTGACTCCGTGAATAGGGTTAAGATAGACAGTTGTGACTACCTTCAAACAAACTCACCCCGTTAAGATGGACAATTGTGACTGTACCTACAAATAACCCCACCCCGTGTTGCCCTCAGGAAAAGATCGCCCTGGATGCACCCAACAGACACAAGCTCTCCGTGCACGTGGTCTCTGACACGTCGGGCGGCGCCACTTCCAACGGTGGACGGGAGGCCGGGGAGCAGCAGTTGGACGTCGCTCAGGACGGGGACAACAAGGAGAAGGACGGCTTCTTGCCAGCACCAGTCCTACCTCTAGTAAGTGGTTTCATCACAATCATCATTGTCTTGCCTTTCTCACGTTGGGTGGGTGGTTGGCGGGTGCTCTGGTATGGTTTGCTTCTTCTTTCCTATCAAATGTCTATCGTCTTTATCTCCCATCCTTCTTTTTGTGTGTGTGTTACTCTCTTGTAACACCTCTGATCTTTGGCACTTAAATGACCTTATTGTGTTGCAAGTGCCGTAAAACTCTTACTAAAACTAAACTCTCACACTGGGTCAGGAAAGTGTGTATTTCAGCCGGAACGTGTTTGAGATGTCCGTGCCTGATTGTACATGTTTATCTCTGTTGTGTGTGTGTTTCAGACGACCATCATTTTAGATGTGTGTGAGATCTACGTGCACGATTGTACGTTTTTCTCTGCTGTGTGTGTATTTCAGCCTTAACATGCGTGAGATCTCCGTGCCTGACTATACATGGTTTTCTCTGTTGTGTGTGTGTTTCGGCCCACTGTGGTGACCAACGTGCGTGAGATCTTCATGCCTGATTGTACATGTTATTCTGTGCTGTGTGTGTATTTCAGCCGGAATGTGTTTGAGCTCTCCGTGCCTGATTGTACATGTTTTTCTTTGTTGTGTGTGTGTTTCAGCCGACTGTAGTAATGAACGTGCGTGAGATCTCCGTGCCTGATTGTACATGTTTTTCTGTGCTGTGTGTGTGTTTCAGCCGGAATGTGTTTGAGATCTCCGTGCCTGATTGTACATGTTTTTCTCTGTTGTGTGTGTGTTTCAGCCGACCATCATTTTAGATGTGTGTGAGATCTACGTGCATGATTGTACTTTTTTCTCTGTTGTGTGTGTATTTCAGCCGGAACGTGTTTGAGCTCTCCGTGCCTGATGGTATTTGTCTTTCTCTGTTGTGTGTGTGTTTCAGCCGACGTATGCGAGATCTCCCTGCCTGACTATACATGGTTTTCTCTGTTGTGTGTGTATTTCAGCCGACTGTCATGATGAATGTGCGTGAGATCTCCATGCCGATTATACATGTTTTTCTCTGTTGTGTTTGTGTTTCAGCCGACTGTCATGATGAATGTGCGTGAGATCTCCATGCCGATTATACATGTTTTTCTCTGTTGTGTGTGTGTTTCAGGCGGAATGTGTTTGAGCTCTCCGTGCCTGATGGTATATGTTTTTCTCTTTTGTGTGTGTGTTTCAGCCGACTGTGGTGACCAACGTGTGTGAGGTCTTGGTGCCCGACTATACATGTTCTTCACTGTTGTGTGTGTGTTTCAACCGATCGTGGTAATGAAAGTGTGTGAGATCTCCTTGCCTGATTGTACATGTTTTTCTCTGTTGTGTGTGTGTTTCAGCCGACGGTGGTGACAGACGTGATGGAGTTCAAGCGGGACCTGTGCCTGTACCCTCTGCCCAAGCCTTTCATCGACCTGACAAAGGCCAAAGCCAAACTGTGATAACCCCCCGCGTCTTTTGCTGTCCCCACCGAGAGGAATTTGTGGTCCAGATGTCGGGCTTACTCTCGGCAAATGTGGTAGCAGTAATGCACCAGTCAGATTGCATATCTGGAAGATTTTGTTGTCAAAAAGTTGTGTAACGTAATTTTTGTCTTTTTGCAATTAAATGAATATCTAGGGAAAGGAAACTCAAAGAAATATAACATTTGTCAGAGGGTAGTTCTGAAGACTTATATGAATCAAACCATTTGTCTGTGAATGTAGATTTAGAATTGTAGTGGTTTAGTTTTGGTAAAAGTTTTTAAGGCACTTCCAAAACAGATAGGTCATATAATGCTGAAGACTAGAGGTCTTATAGGAGAGTAACATACAAAAAAAGAAAAAGAAAGGGGAGACATACAGACGATAGAAAAGAAGGAGCAAACTACACCAGAGCACCTGCCAACCACCCACTGTGTGTGAGGGAATAGACGTTGTGGTCAGGTTTGGGGTGACAACATTCGATTCTGCAGGTTTGGTGTCATGTTGTGTAAGCACACAGATATGTATACCTATCTTATATATATATATGTATGTATACTTGCTGTTTCTCTTTTTAAAACTTGACCAGGGATTGGGGGAGCATTGCAGAATACTTGTCATTATTTTTTTGGACCAGGGTTGATCTTTGCATTTTACAGTACGGCATTGTCTGTCCTGTCAAAGCTTAATTACACTTGTATTATGATTAAATGTTATATGTACGTATATAAGATGGATCAGCAACTATGTGGATGTGTTTTTGCAATCCGTACTGGTACCTGATGTATTGGTTTGGCTCCTCACCTCACTGGCACAAGACGAGAGTCTAGAAATTCTCGTGTGGGGAAGTTTATCTTACTTCGGAGTGTGTCCATCTTTCTGTTGGGCAGACATATCCCACTCGGCTGGGATAGGCCCTGACAGGCAGTATTATAGCTGCCCGCTTATATGGTCGCTTTTGAGCGCAAGGGGGCTAACCCGAAAAATGCTGTTTTGAGAAAATCGAAGGTAAAGTTTTTGGACCCTTGTTCAGTTTACTTAAAAGACAAGGAGAGTTTTCTCTATTATAACCAAACACATGTACACACGAATGAAACAAAAATTCTCCTATAGGTAGGGCAATGCCCACTTATGGTGTAGGTCAAGATTTCTGAAACCCCCGAAATCTAGGTTAGCCCACTTGTCCTTAAAAGCGACCATGTAATGGAATGTGTGTTGATTTTGAATGTGCACGTTGCGTTGAGCAGGGTGTTAAACACCCACATTCAGTCGATGAACCCATCGTGAGAGAGCTACTGTGCCTGTACTCAGCGTACTTTTGCGGAGCTCCTTTCCTTGGAACGGGACTGGAACTACGGAAAGTGTGCGTACGTGTGTGTGTGTGCATAATTCCCAGAGCAATAATGGTCAGGATGTATCATCCTTCTTTACCTTCCGGTTGTTGGTTTTGTTGGTGTCGTGAAATGTTGAGTCATGTGAGAAGATACGGCGTACGTTTAAAGGGAAAAAGATACAACATACGTACGTATAAAGTGAAAAGATACATATACATACATTAATGTGAGAAGGTACAATGTATGCATAAAATCAAAAGGTACAACATAGGTATGTATAAAAATGAGAAGATACGACGTACGTTAAAGGTGTGAAAGTATGATGTACGTATTAAATGAAAAGATACACCGTACGTATAAAGTGAAAAGATGCCTTGTACGTATAAAGGGGAAAGATACGCCGAATGTATAAAGTGAGAGGATACGCCGTACGTCCGCTCAGTGCCATGTTGTTGACTGTTTTTCCTTCATATATCAGCAGCAGGGCTCTATGCTCAACAGTTTTAAAAAACACCAAAAAAAAACGAAATGTTCTTTTTTAATAGATGTTTTTTTTCTACAACTTTTAAAAACATTTTGTATTGCTGATTTCTTTTATAACTCTTTCTAATCCTTTTGATTCTTGGAGTTTTTAAAGGTATTATTTTCAGAGCTCTGGAGGGATGGGGTTTTTTTTCTCCTTTTTTTCCCATTTGTTCTTTTATTAGAATTAGAGAGGCTAGAAAAGGCAGAAAGTGAAAGATTTCTCCACTAATGAACAGGACTCTTTTTGTCTCTAAACTCAGGTTTTCAAGTACGTTTTTACCTCATTTCCTTTGGGGAAAAATGATGAAACTATGGCTTTGTAATGGATAACATGTATTCTTTTCGTTGTCATGAATATACCTTGCCTACTACTACCACTACGATAAGAAAATAGTCATAAGTTTTACTCGGCAAATCATTTTCACTCATTTTGCTTCTCTACTTAAGTGTTGTAGAGAATTGCATTAACAATGTACTGGTGTGATGCAGTTACTGCTGTCCAGAAGTAAAAAATTAAGTGTATTTAGCTGTGTTTTTTGGTATGACAATCCTGTTTTTATGAAGGATTTGCAATGAACCTGTTCAAAGATAACATAATAAAGCATTTTATTTTGTTTCTATCGCTTTGTTTTTCTGGATTATCCTGTTCTGATCTATTGTATTTGAAAAAAACATAGTCTTACAAACTTACACATGCTATGTTTCTAGGGATATTAGGTTTACTATGCAATAATTTTAAAAAGCATTTGCCCTCTTTGCCGGACATTGATGGTGTAATTGATATTCATATCATCACAAGGCATTCTCGTATCGTCACAAAGTATTCTCGTATTCGTCTCTGGGAAAATTAAAGCTGTTGATCTCTGATCCTCATTCTTTTTTATGCTCACTTTATTCCAGGTAACCTTTTTAGAACACAGGATATTCGAGAGTTGTGTCTTAAGATCTGCCACATGTTCTTTGTAGCTTTTATTTTTATGAGCTCCTTTGCTTGTGCATCTGGACCAGGGGGTGTGAATCTGTGTGCCACGTCTTCGACTGTTGAGAGTGGGAAGCTCATTCAGTAATTGTTTTGTTTGTTTTAGTAGAGGTTTTACAGCGCTCACAACTGCATAAGGTCATATGAGCGTCAATAATTCAGTAATTGACGCTCTCCTCGAATGAATGACTTTGGAGAGAAGGTGTTGGGCTTATGAATGCTTCTTGGAGTATGATGTCCTGTTGTCAGAAATAACACAGTGCAAGAATACAAGTAGGAAGAAATTGTCTTTAACATCTTCTTCTCCCTTAAATGATCTGAACAGTGGTGTCTGTGGTTTAATGTTATGTGCAGGCTTTTCGCCATTACTCAAGGAAGAAGTGAGTTTAATTTCTGCATGGGGACTTCTGTTTTATTGAGTGTCTGCGCTGTCTGGCCGGGATGCTGTATCTCCCCCCCCCACCCCCCCTTCTCAGCTCGGGTTAGCCCGGACGAGCAGGGTTGTAGCAGGCTGCTTCCTAATAATGATTAAAAAATGTTGTTGGGGCATAAAACATATATTGCAATTGACTGATCTGAGAAGGGCAGCAGTAGATGAGTCTTTTTGACGAACTGTGCAGCACAAAGTTTCATAGATGTATCACAAGTTTCTCCGCCCCCCCCCCCATTCAATTATTCCTGTGTGGTTGATTTTACCATAGTAGTATAGTAGTTGTGTTTTGGGCGGTATCGGTTCAAATGGTACAAATTTTAAATACCTCGGAATCCGTGGACCAAGCTTTATGACCAAAGTGATTTTGTTAACGTGCAAAGGTCTCTCTCTCTCTATAGATTGACTGCTTGGTGTAAGATTCCAGCATACTGTATTGTGAAAAATGATTTCTGTCGAGTGTTACACCCAACAGTGAATATGTAGGTTGCAGGCAGTATAATATACAGACAGGGTGTCAAAAAAGTCACGCACCATCCTGAAACACATTTATTGTTACAAATTGCAAATGCTCAAATTGAGCATCATTTTCATTATAATAAAACTCTCTACTCTCGGCAAAAAGCTGTTTTTAACTTTCCTTATTATAAATGGATGGATGTTGTGACGCTCAGTTGGGATTGCAAGTCTCATATCGTCAAGAGAGCGTGGACAGAGAGAAAAAAACAGATTTTTAGGATGGTGCGTGACTGTATATCAATTATATCATAACATCAGCCTTTGACATGTGTGCTACTTCAACTTTTACACTTATCCTCCACCAAGCCTAGGCAAGTATTTTTTATTCAAGTCGTGTTACTGTAATGTGATGATGAAGGGCAGCAAATTTTGCACATCCTCACCCGAAGGTCTGACCGATCTAGCTCATGAAGCATCTCCACAACACAAAAAAGTTTCATTCCGAGGCTCCTCGTGTTTTCTCACATTCTTTGATCATAGCTTTTCATATTAACAACTTCACTTTTTGCTGCTTGAAGGTACAGTGCAGCCTGTCAATAACGACCGTCGAGATGACGACATCCTGTGTTACAACATGGTGCCCAGGTCCCGTTTTTTTCTTAATCTTATATATATCATAAGTAACTTTTGGTTGCCTCTCTATAATAATGAGAACTCTCTATAGCGACATTTTTTTCTGGTCCCGACAATGTTGTTACAGAGAGGCTGCACTGTACCAACCTGCTGGTACTATTACAGTCTACGACGAAACTCTTCAGCTCCTAAAGTCAGCAGTTTTTCTACGAAAACTTTGTCACAGGAATAAATTAGGCAGCACCTGTTACTTACTCTCTTTCTGTAGTCAGACACTTCACAGTCTTCCTTGTCTTTTAAAAAAAAAAAAAAAAGATTTGCATGTATTATTATGAATATCTTTTTAAAATCAGCGTAACAAATTGTATGAAAAAAATATGACTAAATAATTTGTTGTGTGTTCTGTGCAGCACATGAATACCTCCCATGATATAGTATTATTGATATATGTGTGTGTATTCGTATTGTTCATTGCTCAGTTGATAGCATGCTGGACTGTGATGTGGCTGGTCCTGGTTTGAACCCTTATCTATCAGGGTTTTCTTGAGCTTTAGTTGGTTCAACGAATTTTCTCATCTGTGCAGCATGACATATATATCTTCAACGATCTAGTTATATCTGATGTCATTTGCAGTATCAAGTATAACATATTATATAGGCCTATCTCCAACAATCTAATGATATCAAGTATCACAATTTCGTGTGAATGCCAGAAAAAAAAATATCGCCCTTTAACCCTATCGGTTATTTGCTTTTTACTATCGTATCCATTAGACGTGGGGAACTCTGTGCAACCATTTTCCGAAGAGGAAATTTACTCTTTAATCTGATCCGTATGCTTTGCATAGCAGTCTGTCAGAATGATTTTTTGAGAAATACGGAAAGTTTCAAAGGGATCTTCGGACTAGATTTAGAAGTTTTCTCAAATGGGAAGAATACCACCCAGGGGGTGCAAAATGACCCCAGGGTGTACAGATAGGGTTAATGGGTCAAAATTTCCCTT